CACATGTTGTTGTTTCGATGAAAGACTGAAAATGATAAAGAAAATTTTGATTTATTTAGATAGCTTGTGCTGACTCTGTTTTCTTTCCAGAGCGGCGATATACGGGACATTGAAAGTCTATACAGAGACGAAAAAAATTGAGAAATTTTCTTTAATTCAATAAATTTATTCGAGCAACGGGACATTGAAAAATTAGAAAAAAAAGACGATTTTATTTTTCAATCGAAAGAATTTTGATGCCGAACATGGGGATATAGAGACTGTAGAGCAGAAAAAAATAGATAATTTTTTTCTATTCTATTTTCTCTTCTGTTTTTTTTTCGTGCATTCCAAACTCAACTAGATTCTCATGTCAACTGTGGCAGATCTTTTATTTCTATTTAAGAGTATTGATCAACTGCTGTCGACATAATTAGTGAAACATGTTTAAAAACGATATGCAATTATTTATCAGAACTTCTTTTGATGAAAAAGTGTCGGTATTTGATGTATCAACAACGGATACTATTCTCAATTTGAAACATCAAATACGACAGAAACTGGGAATCCCTTTAAACAAAATGTCATTAACATATTCAGGGAAATTACTAGATGAAAATAATAAGATGATTTCAGAGTGTAACGTACAAAAAGAGGCAACATTATATGTATTATACAAAGGGGGTGGTGGAACGTACTGTGCAGGTTGTATTCTTCCTAAATTAATTCGTTTCTCGGCGAACGTTTCATTAAAATGTACTGAACCACTTTCATTCGATGATGAACAACTTTTAAATTGTCTGAAAAGTGAACTCAATCGAGTCGATCAAAATGCGATAAATATAATCATAGAATGTGTTGACACTTGTGGAACTACATGGGATGAATTACAAGTTGATGATGCAAATTATTTTCAGAATTATGCAGAAAAAAGACGTTCTGAAGCGACGGATTATTTTACAGGCACGATTTGTCGAATGATTCAACGTTATGTCAAACAAAATCGAACAACACAAACATTACAAAATGAAAATTCTTCTGTTAACGACGAAAATGTCGACACATCGGTCTCGATGGACCCAGTCACAATTGAATGGCTGACATTTCTACATGAAACACGATGTCCAATCTGTTTCTTCCGATTTACTATTGATCAATCAGTTCCTAAGACTTCAAATAGGTATCGATTATCTAATCGACTTTTTCATTTGACATTCTTCATCATTATAGATTACCCATGATGGTGTGTTCAGTGAGTAACAAACATATTGTTTGTCTTGATTGTTGTGCAAATCTCCGTTTTTGTCCTTTATGCAATGGAAAACTTCTTCAAGATATATCTCTATCTCAATCAACAATTGAATCAATAAACCAAACACAAGACAAATTAGAGAAATATTGTTTTCCATCTCAATTAGCAAGTAAAATTCACATCGCACGAAATCAACAACCAATTGCACACGGTGCTATGGGTAAACTCTTTCGTGTTAAGAACAAATATGCTGTGAAATGTGCTCTTATTCCAAATGCAACTGATACAGAACGAGCATTGATTAATGAAATTGCTGTTTCACGACCATTGGCATATTTTCCAAATCTAGTTCAAGTTTATGGTGGTGTTCGTTTACCACATCATGGTATTGGAGTTGTTATGGAATATATCGATGGACCAACATTAGCAGTTGCTCTTTCTGATGATTCAACAATTATTCGTAATTTATCAATAGAAGAACGTTTGAAAATAGGATTAGGAATTGTTCACGGTCTTCGACAACTTCATTTGGCTAAAATTGTTCATCGAGATTTCAAACCAGAAAATATTCTTCTTGTTCAATCTGATCATGGAATGTATATACCAAAAATCGCTGATTTTGGTGTTAGTTTTCAAATAGCGATTGCTTCTGCTACATCAGTCAAAGAATCTGGTGGAACCGTTGGTTATGATGCACCGGAAATCGTTATCGATAACAAATCACCATCCATTGCTTCTGATATTTATTCATTAGCTTTCACTCTTTATGAACTTCTCACAGCTAAACGAATTTTTGCTGGATTAAGACCAACACAAATTCTGTCGAGATTTACAATGCGTGGCGAACGTCCTCAAGATTGGCCAAATAATATATGTCAACATTTAAAAGAAATCATTGAACAATCATGGTCGATAGAAGCTGATCAACGAGCAACTATTGCCACAATTATTTGTGCCATTCAGAAATCTCTTTCTCCAAATCAATCATCGTGTCTTGAAATGCTTCAAAACGCCACAAGATCACGCAAAAAAATCGCGACAGTTTCCTTGGAAGATTTCAAATCATTCGAATTATTCGCGTTAAATGAATTTGTTAAACGCATATCCATCAACGATCGTGAAATGATGCAAATTTTCATTGAGGAATTACCGCCGAGTTTCTAAACAAAATGCATTTCAATTTCGTCTCACTATTTCCTTTTCATTTACACAAGAAAACAAGAAGTTAATTCTTTTTTGTTTTGAGCTTTCAACGAGGAATTTCAACATCGATTGGAAGAAAACAGTGATTCACTTATCTTTTTCTATTGAAATGGAATTATTTCAGAAATTAATTGAATCGAATAAAGTTCAAATCATCGTCTTAATCATTTCTTCTTTTTAAAGAATTTTTTCATTGAAAATAACAATCGAACTGAATGAAAATTTGATTTTTACAAAAATGATATATAATAATAAAGAATTCAACTTTGTTTCATTTAAATTCGACATTTCTCATCGAAAATCTTGCAACACTTATCGAAGAAAACTCTTATTTAATTAAATTCAAATCAGTTTACTCTGGAAAAAAAATTCGAGAGAAATATGTTGAAGATCTTCATCAAATCTTTGAAAATCTCAATCTTTTATATGAATCAGAGATTCAATTCATTTGCGAAATCGGCTGTTAACCCTTTGATGAATCTGACCAATTGAAAAAGAATATTTTCATTATTCTCATTTTCGTATTGGTCAAACTGCTGTCGATGCAATTGAATTATATTTCTCTTCTAAGAAAAATCCTCATGAAACTTTGATTTATTTTTAAAAAAAATTTAAAGATTCATCAAAAGTCTGATCTATTAGATTCGATTTCCTTTCATTTGTCAATTTATATTCTTCGAAATAAAATAAATTCAATCGAATTTTGAATCTTCGTCAACAACTTTGAAAAAAATTCTTAAGAAATTTTATTCGAATAATTACATCGATTTCGGACTTATTTTGAAAAAGTTTCGACAATTTATTGAACGAATTGTTCAACAATCAATGTTAATAATATTCCTTTCAAACCGATGTGTCTTAAAGCACAATTTGCTTTTATCAAAGATCAATTAATGTTGGAAAAGAATTTCCTTCAAAAGAGTCACGTCCAAATATATTTTCTCTTTAATGCATTTCATTGTATTTTTCGACAAAAAACATTTTTATGACAATGCAATTCGATTTTATGAACAAATTCATCAAAAACAATTCTCTTTTATTAAATCATATCAAATCAATTCTTAATTAATATTCGAACAAATTCTTCGAAAACTTAACTTAATTATTGAATTTTATCAACAAAATTCACCAACATTGGAATTGATCAACTCAATTTACAAATTAATTTTGAAAATTTCTTCATTTTGTTATTGAATAATATTGAAAAACTTTCCAAATCATTGTCACAAAGTCTTCGAAATTTGATTTTGATAAGAAAAGAAATTGAGATTTTCTTCTTACAAAATTCTTCTATGTTTAGAATTATTTTCTTTACGCAATTGTCAATTCTTTTTCAAATTAATCGAATTATTCTTGTTTGAGATAAACATCTTAACAAAAGGTTTCATCTGATGTTTTGTCAAAACTTTCATTATCGATTGAATTACAATCTAAAATATTATCTTCAAAATCCAAGTAAAGAAAGACATGAAAAAAACGCCGAATTGGTTCAAAGTTGATGAAAGTGTCAATGTACTCAAATATTGTTTATAACCAAAAGTAAATGTTTTGTTTGTATGTGTGTTTGGATATGACAAGGCATAAAATTTTGTTTTTCTCTCAATGAGTAATGAAGTAATAACAATCGATGAATTCTTTTTTTTTTCTGCCGTTCTCAGATGTTATTGCGTACAGGAATCGCATCGAAAGTAATAAAGAAAAATGAAATAATGTTTACTCATTTTATTCAGGTAATCATGCAACCATTTTCGATATTTTTCACCGACAAAAATAATTGTACTTTTTTCTCATGATCATATGATTAATACTGACGAGTGTTGAAGAAAAGAAATCAGGTGCATTGAGGATCAAATGTTTCACAGTCTCAGTGCAACTTCAAGATTAGCGAATTTTTCTTTTATTTCATTTAATTTTTCTATTCTTCTCTATTGATTAGATAATGTATCGATCTAAAACACAAATATTTCTTCTTTTAACTTTGACATTTGTTGTTTGTTCATATTGTCAATTATCTGTTATATCTCGATTTGAACAAAAAGATAAATCAATAACAATAAATGCGAGTAATGTTTGTGCTTCTTGTTTAAATAGCACGTGTAATCTTCCATCTGGTTATTGTTTCATTGATGATTTATGTCTTCAAGATGGTGATTCTCTTTATAATTGTTTACAATGTAATTCATCTGAAAATCAATTTGAATGGTCATTTAATTCTCTATGTTCACCTGGAAATGCACGTTGTTCCGATCAACAATTTCTCTCTCAACATATTTGTGATTTATCAATTATCAATGCATTTTATCAAGATTTTCAAAGTGCAAAAGTTAATTTATATAATTCGAAATGTTCACGTTTATCTTGTCAATCAGGTTTCTTCTTTTCAACAATGACAAATAATTACACAAATCTATCCCAAACAGTTTCCTTTTCTTGTTGTCCAGGTTATTTTTGTCCTGATGGTCAAATATGTATGATACCTTGTCGTGATGGTGCGTATTGTCCATCACCTTTAACACCCAAAAATGGCTTTTGTCTTACTAATGTTGATTGTGCACAAAATGCACCGAGTCCATTCAGTGAATATGGATGTGGTGGATCGTCTGTTGAAGGTTTTTGTCAATCGGGATCTTATTGTCCAAATTCATCTACGACAATATCATGTGAAAACTTGAATTCTGTATATTGTCCATCTGGAATAATCAAACCAGTCGAATGTCCAAGTGGATTTACATGTCAAGATGGAAAACTTGACAACAATCGTATTTTTACCATATCAATGGTTATTGTTTTAGTTCCATTAAGTCTTTTAATCGGACTTCGTGTTCTCGTCAACATTGGATTAATACGATGTTTAGTTAGAAAATGCGAACATTGGATTTCTTGTTCTTTAGAAAATATCAATCAAAGAAAGAGAAAATATGTTGTCGAACAAGATGAAACGAGTGATTATTTTAAGATACTTTCTGATCCATCTACACAGAAGGATTATGGATTTAATGTTGAATTAGAAAATGCCAAATTGAATATTCGAAAATGGGTCAAATCGAATAAAGGTTTTACATTTTGTATTGAAAGTGGACAAATCAATGGTATTATGGGTCAATCAGGTTGTGGAAAAACAAGTTTACTTTATGCAATTCAAGGAAGAAAAAGTTTACAAAAAGAAAGTACAATTATCTATAATGATACAAATACAAAGAATGGTCATTGGCATCCGTTACATACGTGCCTTTCTGATATTGTTGGTTATGTTCCTCAAGAAGATGTCATGCATTCAGATTTAACTGTTTTTGAAACAGTTTATTTCTCGGCATGTTCACGAAGATTGAAAGATGATAGAGAAACAATTAGAAATGATGTTGATTTTGTTTTAGAAAAATTAAGTATGACAAATCAAGCAAATACAACGACTGAAAAATTATCTGGAGGTTAATATTTTTATTAAATATCGACATTAGATTTTTGTTATTTTTCTTCTAGGAGAACGAAAACGTGTTAATATTGCGATGGAAATTGTGGCTTGTCCGAAAATTTTATTACTTGATGAACCAACATCAGGTTTAGATACGGTTATTTGTGATAAAGTATTTGATTTATTAAATATTATTAAACAAAATCAATTATGTTCTGTAAATATTATCTTAATTATTCATCAACCAAATTATGAATTATTTCAACAAATTGATCATTTAATTTTACTTAATCCTGATTGTTATTTAGCTTATTCTGGTCAACGTCAACATGCTTTAACACATTTACGTCATCACGTTCATTTCCATGAAGACAGTGACGAATATCAACAAATATACAAATCAATGAATGAATGTGATTGTTGTATTTATGCATTGGCTCATTATCCAAAAGAACACGCAATTGAAAATCCATTAAATATCACATTGAAATGTCAAAATCCGTCTATATTTAATTTCAAACCGACAAATAGACAATCAATCTTGATGCCGATCATCTACATAATACATCGAACATGTGTACAAATGTTTCGACGAAATTATGCAATTGAAGCGATTTATGCTTTAGCTTTTTTTCTCTTAGGTTTAATTATTGGTCGTTTATTTCGAGAAAAAGCGCAATCATGTGATATCAAATCATTACCAGCTATTTATTTCATGATCAGTTTAGGTTTTGGAATGGCAACATGTATTTCAAGTCAACGTTTATTTGGTATTGAAATGGTTGATAAAACATTCGTAAGAGAAACAAGAAATTCTTATCATCCAATTCAATATTGGTTGGCGAAATCATTTGTTGATTTAATTCATTTATTTCTTTATCCTTTATTATTTTTAACAATGTTATATATTGAAATCATACCAAGATCAACTTTCCTTGAATATTATTCCGTGTTAATTTCTATGTCTTTCGCTTGTTCAGCTATTGGACAATTTGTTTCCGTTGCGTGTCAAAAAACGGAAAATTCTTATCTAGCAGCGACATTAATTGCTCTGATTTCTTGTCTTATCAGTGGTTTTAATCCAACAAAAAGTCAATCATTACATAGTTTAGTCTATTTGTCATTTTCGAGACATGTTCAACGGCAACTTTTTCTTTTCGATACGAATAAATTTGTTCAAAATGCATCGACAATTAGTTTATGGAATACTCAAATTGATGCTTTAACTGTGACTTATTCTTTTGAAGATAATGAAAGATCAATAGGTTGTTTAATGGCTATTGGAATTCTAATGCGCTTGTTAACGATTGTTTTTCTTTATGGAAGATCCGAATATCGATCGAAATTTCGATTTTATTTATCAAAATTATTCGATTTTATTGGTTATCAACCGAGATAAATACATTTATTCATAAAACACCTTGGATTTCTTTTCTTTGTGTAATTTCAGAATATTTTAGAGAAAATCATATCAGTTTAATTACGATTTCTTGTTGTGATTTGCTTTTGAATACTTATGTACAAAAATGTCAAGAATTTTATGAATAAAGACAACAGAAGTAACTTGTAGAATAGTTATATTTCATTCAAATAAATGTGCACTTCTTGAAAAAGATTCCTGTGCTTCTTCTCAGGGGCGTTCCGAATAAAAACGAGTCTTTTTTCAATAACTCACGAGTATTTGTCAACAAAAATATCCGTCGACGAATGACATAGCTATACTCTCCCTGATTTCCATCCTGCGCAATTGCTTACCTTTATATTACTTTTATCTTTAACCGTCATTTTATTCACGTGTGCATTCTTATTTCAATCAAATGAAATAGTTGACATAAATCGTCTAATAACGCAAAAAGAGATTTCTATTCATTCTCAAACGGGGTTATTTGAAACTCTTTTCTTTAGAAATCAAACTGTAATTTATCGAAAACTGACTGACCTATAGATGATTTACTTTCTTCGAATATTTTCGTAATCGATACAGTAGAGAAGTATTTTGATTTTTTCTTCGTTAATTATATGTGATCAGCAAGTCCATATCTAATTGCTCACTGATTTTTATCATAATATGAATCGTGGCAATATGAATGAAAGAAAGCACAAGACTGTACAATATGGCACAATGTAAACAAACTACGTCAAATTATTCATCCATATCTACCTTTTCATATATATCAAATAATATATTTTAAAGCGCAGAAACAAGTTTTTTTGCTAAAAAATAATACTTTTATTAAAACACATTCTTGTCGTCTTAAATTAAAATAAAGTCGGTAAGTTCTAAGGTACGGTCTCCTAATTAATTACCATAAGAAAACTTTATTCCTGCTAAGATTGAAACAATCGATCAAAACCGAACAGAATTAAACATAATCAAGAAGACACCATTAGAATTCCTACTGAATTCAATAAAGATATGTGAGTATAATATTAATCTGATTTCAATTTTATCGTATAGTTGTCTTCATTAGGAAAACTATTCTGCCATCTACATCAATTTTTAGTACACTTGGTTACTTATTTTTGACATTAACAAGCGTTAGTATTATCATAGGCGTTATCATAGTTTGTCTGACATCGCCTAAACCTCCAGGTATATTTCCATTTTTCTATAGCAATCTTGTAACATCCTGCGTGTGTTCCTCACTTCAAATAGTCTATGTTATTTAGATAAAGTGTGCAAATTCATCGTGAAATCCGAAGCTCGTAGTTCGATCACCATCGATTCTTATCCACGTTCGATCGTTGTTGCTGATTTCAATAATGATGGTCATCTCGATATGGTCGTTCCAAATTCTGGAACAAATTGTATTGGAGTATTTATGGGTGATACTAATGATACATGGAAAAATCAAATAACATATTCGACAGGTGCTCGTTCAATTCCATATGCAGTGACTATCGCTGATTTTGATCACGATCAACAACTTGATATAGCAGTAGCAAATTACGGTACAAATAATGTGGGTATCTTTCTTGGCACAGCCAATGGTACTTTCAGTTCTCAAACAACATTTTCTACTCGATCTTCTCGTCCGAGATATGTTGCTGCAAGTGATTTCAATAATGATGCAATAATTGATATTGCTGTCATCAATTATGGCACCAACGACATTGGTATTTTTCTAGGTGATGGTTATGGAAATTTTGGTAACTGGAAGACTTATTCCACCGGATTTGATTCCATTCCATATTCGCTCGCTATTGCTGATATTGATCATGATAATTTCCTCGATATTGTCGTTGCTAATTATGGTACTAAAAATGTCGGTCTGTTTTTCGGAAATACAGATGGAACATTTCAAAGTCAGATGATTATTGATATTAGTCGTAATTGTCAACCCTATTCGATCACGCTTGCAGATCTTAACAAGGATACTCACATTGATATTGTTGTTGTATCTTCGACTACGAACAACATTATGGTTTTGTTAGGTTCGGGAACTAGATCTTTTTCATTGTCGAATGAATATTCAACCGGTGATGATACTTCACCTCGCTCAGCAATTGTTAGTGATTTCAATAACGATACTAAAGTTGATATTGCAGTAATCACCTATAGTACCTCAAGTATAATTCTTTTTTTGGGACGTGACAATGGTACATTTTCAAATGCAACGACGTTTTATACTAGTATTGATTCTTTGCCATATGCGATGACTAGTGGAAATTTTAATAATGACACTCAATTGGACATCGCTATTGTCAATTATGATTATAACTATGTTGATGTTGTACTTAACTATAGAAATTATAGCTTTTTAACTCAAATGGCCTATGACATTACTGGTGTTAATCCTAATCCGAAGTCAATAGTGATAGTTGATTTAAATAATGATACTCGACTCGACATCATCGTTGCTAACTATAATACTAGCCAGATAAGTGTATTTCTTGGCTTGAATAATGATACTTTTTCAATTCCAGTCAGCTTTTCGACTGGAAGTCAAACTGGTCCATGTTCTATTGCCATCGGTGACTTTAATAATGATAATCGACTAGACATTGTCGTAGCCAACTATGATATTGATTCTGTAGATATATATCTTGGTAATGGTGATGGTACGTTTTCGAATGAAACGATCTCTTCACTTCGTGATAATCCTCAACCATCAGCTGTCGATGTCGGTGATCTAAATAAAGACGGCCGACTTGATATTGTCTTTGTCAGTAAATCGTTCGGATTCATGCGTATCTATTTTGGTAATGGTGATGGTCAATTTTCTACTAACCAGTTATATTTCATTGGCTCAGTAACTACGTCATCACCAGTATGGGTTCGTATTGCTGATTTTAATAATGACAATCGTTCCGATATTGCTGTCGTCAATCGAGTCGCTGGTACTGTTGGTTTGTTTCTCGCTACTGATAATGGTAATTTCACGTATCGAGCTGTGTTTTCAGTTGGTACTGGTGCTGGACCGAATGCTGGTGCCATTGCTGATTTCAATAATGATGGTCGAATGGATATAGTTGTCAACATTTATTATAATCGTGCTTTTGAAATTCTTTTAGGACAGGGTGATGGAACATTCATTAGCAAAGCAAGTTATTCTATTGATAGTCTCGCTCGTCCATCGTGGACAACAATTGCTGATTGGAACAATGATAATCAACTCGATATCATTGTGTGCAGTTGTGATACTAATAATATATTTGTGTTTTATGGATATGGTGATGGAACTTTTCATGCTGGACGAACTTATTCTACGGGCAATAATTCTTGTCCATTATCGAGTGCTGCTGGTGATTTCAATAAAGATGGTTTATTTGATATTGTTACTGGCAATGCAAACAGTGGTACGATTGGTGTTTTTCTTGGATTCACTTATATGAACGGTATTCGGAAAGCAACATATTCAACTGGTTCTGCTGCACATCCACAAGCTATTGGTCTTGATTATTTAATTAGTAATGATACACAATTAGATGTTGTTCTGGTCAACTATGGATTGAGTAATGTGGCAATTCTTCAAGGATATCCAGATGGAAGTTTTCCAGTTCAAAAAACGTTTTCAACAGGATCTCTCTCGTTTCCCACTTCGATTGCCATTAATGATGTGAACAATGATTATTGCCGAGATATTATCGTTGCAAACTCTGCTCTTGGAAATATTGGCATTTTTTATGGATATGGAAATGGAAGTTTTAGAAGTCAAATCACCTACTCTGCATCATCCTATTCATTACCACAGTCAGTAATTACAGATGACTTTAATAATGATGCAAAAGTAGACATTGGTGTTGTATATTCGGGCAATGGAAGTGTGTTAACAATGCTGAAATATCGCACAACAATATTCACAAAACAAAATGAGTATTTCACTGGCCCTCAATTTTATCCACATGCTGTGGCTATTGGCGATTTCAACAATGATGGATTATCCGATTTCGTTACTGTCAACAGAGGTAATCAAAGTATTAGTATTTTTCTTGGATTGTCCAATGGAACATTTATTGGTCCAACAACTTACTCAGCTTCAAATGGATCCCCTTTATACGCAATTGTTGTTGGTTATTTTAACAACGATGCCTATCTGGATATCGTCGTTAGTCAGTATTCACTTAGCGCCATAAGTATTTTTCTTGGTTATGGGAATGGAACATTTCGAAGTCCGTACACTACGTTGTATGACGTTGATTTTCCTGGCAGTTTATCGTCAGACTCTGGAATCTATGAATCTAGCGGTTCCTCAGAATTAGTTGGCATGGCTGTCGGTGATTTCAATGAAGACAAAAGGTTGGATCTTGTTGTCGTCTTTAGTGCAGCTAGTGGAATAGCTGTGTTTCTGGGAAATAACAATGGTACATTTGCCTCTCCAGTTCCATATTTTACTGGCAATGCAGTGAATTCAATTTACGTAGCCGTAAATGACTTTAATAATGACACTCATTTAGACATTGTTGTCACCAATCTCGCAAGTTCCAACATAGTTGTCTTTCAAGGAAGTGGTAATGGTAATTTTAGTCAAGTAGGCAACTATTCAACTGGTACTAAATCAGCTCCACGACCAGTAACTGCTGTAGATTTAGATCAAGATGGTTTCATTGATATTGTTGTTGGTAATTCAGGATCTGACAATGTTTGTGTATTTTATGGTTATGGTAATAGTTCTTTTGCTCAACCAATATTTTATCCGATTGCCTCTGGTTCTCTTTCATACGGATTAGTCGTCAAAGATTTTAATAATGATGGTCAATTGGATATTGGTGTTGCCAGTTATGGTACAAACAATATTGTTATTCTTCTTGCACTTGCTAATCGTATATTTTTTAGCGCAGTGACATATTCGACAGGTGCCTATTCTCAACCATCATTTTTAGCTGTTGCTGATTTCAATAACGATAGTTGTTTGGATATTGTCGTCACTAGCTCAGGAATTAGTAGTGCCACTGTGTTTTTCGGTTATTCTACTGAAGATTTTCTTGTCGCTCCAGCTTATACAATTGGATCTTCTACTCAATTGACATCAGTTGCGATGGGAGATTTCGATGATGATTCACATTTAGATATTGTTGTTACAGATAATGCTACAAACAATATTATAGTTGTATTTGGTTCTATGTATGGAACTTTTACACGACACGTTATCTATTCAACTGGTAATAATTCTCATCCATGCTCAATAACTACAGCTGATTTGAATAACGATCATCGATTGGATATTGTCGTAGCAAATTCTGGTACGAGTAGTATGGGCGTTTTTCTTGCCAATGGTAGTGGTACATTTCAAAATGCAATGATATATTCGACTGGTCTTCGTTCTCAACCATATTCAGTTGCTGTTGGAGATTTTGATAATGATACTCGATTGGATATTGCTGTTGCTAATTATGGGGCGAGTAGTGTAGGTATTTTTCTTGGTTATGGAAATGGTAGTTTTGCAGATCAGATGATATTTCAAACTGGTTATGGTTCACATCCATTTGCTCTCGCTCTTGGTGACATTAATAATGATCATTTGACTGATATTGTTGCTGTTAATAATGGATATGGTAACATCGATATTATCATGAAGACATGTTAGAATTTCGATTATTGTATTTTCTAAACTATGAATTTATTCTTTTCTTTAAATAGATTATGTTCTTTTTTTCTGTTTACGACACTCCAAGTGTTTGAAATTCTTGATTTTACCATTCAAAGTAGCTAATACAATTTTACGACATCTATCTCAGAATTTGTATACGAGATGAAAATACAACTTTCATTCTATTTTTTAGACGTTTTCTCATAATAACTGTCAAGAATGAATATTTGAAATCTTTAGATATACCCGAGAGATTTTCTCTCACTTTATTTCTATGTGTTTAACCAAAAATATTTAACTAAATATCGATTTTCTGTTTTTGCTCTCTCAATAAAAATACTTCAACAAAGATTAAACTTCAGTACTCATTGATAGAGTTTATCACGGATAAGTGTGCATAGACATTGCAGATCGGAACGTCGACATTTATTTATCCAATAGCATCGTAAATGGATGGTGAACTATTTCATATATTTGTGTGTGTAGAGTATATCTAAAGTGTATTTGAGAGATACACACTAATAAACACGTGGCTTAGCTTTTTCGTTCGATTTCTAATACAATCAAATACCTATTTTTGTTTTGATTTTGCTTGTTTTTTTTCCATAATTTCCCACCAAAATGGATGATAAACAATCAGCAATAATTGATAAAGATTCGAATATACAAAAAGCAGCATTACCATCGAGAAGAAGACGTGTAGATGATTATTGTCTTTTGTGGGTGGATATTGGGATCGATGAATCAAATAAAGATCATCTATCTGTATTAGAACAACTGCAGAGCCTCATCAATGACATTGAAATTTATCAATGAAAATGACGACAGGAAAATTTTTCTCATTATTTCTGAATGTTTAGCGCAACATTTATTATCTGAAATTCACGCGAAATCACAGCTTATGGGGATTTATCTTCTTTCGCATAATCGATCCAATGATGAAGAAATGGAGCAAAATCTAAGGATTATACACATCAGCAACATCCATTTGCAAGATGTTACAACCTGTTGTTAAACAATATGATCACAACTCAGTTAATATGAGTTATATTCCCCAAAATAAAAATCTGAATCAATTGGAAGCGAACTTTATGTACACTCAGCTTTTCAAGGAAATTTTACTTGAGATCGAATATGATGAACATTCTATCAAGTTTTTAACAACTTATTGGCGAAAATTATTCGCTGACAACAAGGTGAAATTGAACCTTATCGATGAATTTGATCGTCGTTATTGTTCTGAAAATGCGATCGAATGGTATACACGGGATTGTTTCATTTATCGAATGCTCAATCAATCGCTTCGTGAATTCGATAGTGAGAATCTGATGAATATGAGTTTCTTTCTTCGTGATATTCATATGCAAATACAAGAATTACATCGAAAGCAAGTTAATGATTACAATGGACAACCATTTCTGGTTTATCGTGGACAAAGACTCTCCAAAGTGGATTTTGAAAAACTTTTGAAAACCAAAGGAGGACTCATTTCATTTAATAGTTTCTTGTCAACTAGTCGAGATCGAGAAGTATCAAGTCGTTTTGCCAATGGTGCTATCGTGAATACGGACACTGTTGGTGTTTTATTTCAAATATCTATCGATCCTACGATCGTATCAACTCCATTTGCTTCCATTCAACAAGTTAGCTTTTTCTTAGAAGAAGAAATTCTTTTCTCCATGCACGCTGTGTTTCGCGTACAAGAAATAAAAGAATCAAATCACGAAAATCCGTTGTATGAAGTCGAACTTAAACTCACAAATGAAGATAACGATGAACAACTTCATACACTTACTCAATATATGCGGAACAGGACACGAGCTCCAACTGGATGGAGACGATTGGCTCTGTTGTTGATCGAAATAGACCAACTGGAAGCAGCTGAAGCAATATATGGTGTACTACTTGAAACAACATCTAATGATCGTAACATTGCATTTTATTGTAACCAGCTTGGTGCCATTAAAGACAAACAAGGTGATTATGAGGCAGCGCTGTGGTGTTACGAGAAAGCACTTGCAACAACAGAAAAAATTCTTCCTTTAAATTACGAATATTTGGCTGCTTGTTATAACAACATTGCCTCAGTCTATGATAATATGAAAGATTATTCACAAGCACTTTCACTTTACACGAAATCAAATGAGATTCTACAAAGAATTCTTCCGGAAAATCATCCGAATATGTCTGCCTCCTATAACAACATTGCCAATGTTCATCAACTCATGGGAGAGTACTCAAAAGCAGGTTTTTTCTTTGAAAAAGGTCTTGAAATTTTACGAAAATCTCTTCCGTCCAATCATCCTTTAATAGCTCGATCCCTTTCAAACAACTCGGGTATATACTACATAATGAAAGATTATTCCAAGGCCCTTTCTTATCTCGAACAAGCTCGAGATATTTGCATTCGTTCATTACCTCCCGGTCACGTTGAATTTCAAAATATTGAAGACGGACTCAAAGCGATCAAACGGAAACTGGAAAACTAAATTTGATTGTGATCTGATTTGAAAGACTAAAACTGAGGACAATAACACTTCCGTGACTATTATATAGAAAATACTGAAGAAGAGCATGCACATTTTGAACGTTAAAACGGATCGATCATCTGATAGTCTTCAATAATATAACTAATCATTTTTTCGTAATTTACGTAAGATTACTTCATTAACGATTGATCTTGTAGCAAATTAGTTGTGTATTTTCTTCTTTTCTCTATTAAATCTGATGCAAAGTCAATAAAAAAAGAAAAAATATACAAATACACTCGTTATGATACTTGTCGTACTGAGAGTAGTGTAGAAATCGTTGACTCGATTCGAGTATTAAAACTTCCTTCGAACTCTAAAACTTATAAATCGTCAACTCGAAGCTTCGAGTTTTCGAGTATTCGACTTTTACATGTATGACGTATTGACGATGCTTTTTTTCTTGCATTCGTTTTAATTCATTCTGTCATCGACAAAAGTAACCAGAAATAACAAATACAATTTTTTCATCGACGCACTGCGCAATCTAAAACAAACAACGAAATTCTATACGTAGTCAATAGAAACATTTACGTGTATCATCGGTTCTTTCTTATTTCGCTGTCTGTAACAAAGAGGGTGAATATATAGAATTACTCAAATCAATCTCGTAATTAGTGAATTTTTTCGATTAAGTGTAAAATGGGCAAAAAAAGTTCCAAATTAGTCAAACAATCATCATCAGCACCAGTGGAGAACATAAATAAAGTCTCCAATCCGTTGAAGAATATAGCTGAAGCTTCCAATCAAATCATACCGAAGGCAAATTTACAAACGTGTATAATTGGAAATGTCGCGATCGTTTGGTTAGATCAAAATATCAATGAATCTTCCGATAATTATCGAAACTCAATCCATAAACTTCGAAAAATTGTTAATTCAATTGAAAATTTTCAAGATAAAGATAAATGTATCAAATTTATCCGCGAAATACAAGATGAAAAAATCTTTCTAATTGTATCAGGTTCTCTTGGTCAACAGATTACTCCTACAATTCATGAACTTCCTCAACTTCATTCGATCTATATTTTTTGTTATCAGAAATCTTTACATGAACAATGGGCAAAAAAATTTCACAAAATTGCAGGAGTATTCACGGACATGGATCATATTTGTCTGATAATGAAGGAGAACGTTCGATTAACAAATAACGACCTAGTACCAATAAGTGCCATACCAAAATCATCAACAGCTGATTTAAATACGCTCGATCCAATGTTTATGTATTCCAAATTAATCAAAGAAATTATTTTGGAAATGAAATATGAGAAAAAGGTACCCGAGGAATTCATTGAGTTTTGTAGCTCAAAATATTCGACAGATAAATCTGTGTTAAAATCGATCGAAGAATTTAAATCCGATTATTGTGTTGAGAAATCCGTTNATGTTCAACGACAACTTTTTCTTTTCGATACAAATAAATATGTTCAAAATGCATCGACAATTAGTTTATGGAATACTCAAATTGATGTTTTAACTGTTACTTATTCTTTTGAAGATAATGAAAGATCAATAGGTTGTTTACTGGCTATTGGAATTCTAATGCGTTTTTTAACGATTGTTTTTCTTTATGGAAGATCAGAATATCGATCGAAATTTCGATTTTATTTATCAAAATTATTCGATTTTATTGGTTATCAACCGAGATAAATACATTTCTTCATTTTCCTTCATAAAAACACCTTGAATTTCTATTCGTTGTGTAATTTTAGAGAAAATCATATCAGTTTAATACACTTTCTAATTATTATTTGCTTTTTAATACATATTTACAAAAATGTCAAGAATTTTCTGAATAAAGACAACAGAAATAATTTGTAGAATAGTTATATTTCATCCAAATAAATAAATGTGGAAACTTCAGACTTTATCCGAAAATTAGATGTATTTTAAAAAGATTCCAATACTTTTCCTCAGAAACGTTCCAAATAAAAAAGAATCTTTTTTCAATAATTCATGGACATTTGTTAATAAAAATATACGTCGATAAATGACATAAATATATTCTACCTGACTTTCATTCTACGCAATTACTTACCTTTATATCGTTTATTATCTTTAACCATCATTTGATTTACGTATATGCATTCTCGTTTCTATTTTCTTATTCTATTTGACAGGAAATTATTTCAATCAAATGAAATAGTTGACATAAATCGTATAATAACGTAAAGAGATTTCTATTTATTCTCAAATGAGGTTATTTGAAAATATTTTCTTTATGTATAAAACTTTAATGTATCGAAAACTGTTTGACTGATCTATATATGATTTACTTTCTTCGTTAATTATATGTGATCGGCAAGTCCGTATCTAATTGCTCACTGATTTTATCATAATATGAATCGTGGCAATATGAATGAAAGAAAACACAATATGGCACAATGTAAACAACCTACGTGAAATTATTCATCCATATCTACCTTTCGATATATTTATATGAAATAATATATTTTCAAGCATAGAAACAAGTTTTTTTGCTAAAAAAATAATACTTTTATTAAAATACTATTGTCGTCTTAAATTAAAATAAAGTTGGTAAGTTCTGAGATACAATCTCCTAATTAATTATCATAGAAAAACTTTCTTCCTGTCAATTGAAATAATCGTTCAAAAGTGAACATAGTTAAACATAATTAATAAGACATACTAGTATGATTCCTACTGGATTTAATAAAGATATGTGAGTATAATATTAATCTGATTTCAATTTCATTGTATAGTTGTCTTTATTAGGAAAACTATTCTCCCATCTACATCAAATTTTAGTATATTTGGCTACTTATTCTTTACATTAACAAGTGTTAGTATTATTATAGGTGTTGTCATAGTTTGTCTTACATCGCCTAAACCCCCAGGTACGTCCTTATTTTCCTACAGTAATCTTGTAGCATTCTACGTGTGTTCTATGTTATGTAGATAAAGTATGCAAGTTCATTGTGAAATCCGAAGCTCGTAGTTCAATCACCATCGATTCTTATCCACGTTCGATCGTTGTTGCTGATTTCAATAATGATGATCGTCTCGATATGGTCGTTCCAAATTCTGGTACAAATTGTATTGGAGTATTTATGGGTGATACTAATGATACATGGAAAAATCAAATAACATATTGTACAGGTGCTCGTTCAATTCCATATGCAGTGGTTATCGCTGATTTTGATCATGATCAACAACTTGATATAGCAGTAGCAAATTACGGTACAAATAATGTGGGTATCTTTCTTGGTACAGTCAATGGTACTTTCAGTTCTCAAACAACATTTTCTACTCGATCTTCTCGTCCAAGATATATTGCTGCAAATGATTTCAATAATGATACAATAATTGATATTGTTGTCATCAATTATGGCACCAACGACATTGGTATTTTTCTAGGTGATGGATATGGAAACTTTGGTAACTGGAAGNTTATGGAGTGAAAATACTTAATGAACATTTGGTACCTCTCTTACGTGAAAATGGTCGAATAATTAATGTAGCCAGTCAAGCAGGTACCATAGTTTTATCTGATTGTTCGAAAGATCTTCAAGAAAAATATTCATCATCAACATTAACTATTGAACAATTAGATGAATTAGTCGAACAATTTCTTTCTGCTGTTGATTCGAATACTCTGAAGACAATTGGATATACAAGTACAATACCTCTGATGCCTTATAGTATTTCTAAAGCAGCGACGATTGCTTTGACTCGAATTGAAGCAAAACAATGGTCGAATGAAAAGAAAATCTTTGTATATTCTGTATGTCCAGGTTATTGCAATACTGATCTAAGTGCACATGCTGCAGATAGTCGATCAGCAGAAAATGGAGCCGATTCAATCTTATATTTAGTTCATACACCATCTGATCAATTAGAAAATGGAGGTTTTTATCTTGATGGTGTTCAATTTCCCCAAATTAATCAAGATCAAGATTTAATTCGACAAGCATTTGAACGCATTTCAAAAGTTAATGCAGCAAAATAATTTCTTTTTCTTCTGAAAAATTAAAAAAACATACAATTCAAATTACAAATCTTTATTAAATTATCCAAAGTTTATTTGATTTTTAAGAACATAATAAAATAAAACAGAATTGTTTAAGATGAGAGTGTGTGTCTGTTGTCTTTTATTCTCATAATTCAGATAATGAAAAAGAATTCAAACCGAGAACAGATTAATCTTTTACATCATTAAGTGATTCTCTTACAGATCGCAATTCACATAAAAGTATTATTTTGATTTTTGTAGAGATCCCAAACATCAGTGTAAATACAAGGTGGACGCAGAATAGTGTCACATGGATGGAGATCAAGACAATCAGGCAATGGTGTGTATGTGGATTCACGAGAAGGAAGTGTGATATAGTTGGTGGAAATGAACAAATCAACTCTCATATTCTGTGAGTTTATCATTTGATAAAGAAAATAATTTATATGTGACAGACTCTGATAATTATCGAATTCAAAAGTTTCATGTTGACGTAAAATAATTTCTTGCTTATTTTTTATTTATTCTTGATCGATAAAACTGAGTCAGAACAGAGGTTTTTTCTGTCAATAACAAATAAATGTATTTTTCCATTGAAATTCAAACGAAAGACACTCATCTAAGAAAAGGTGAAACTCAATGAGAATTTTCAAAATAAATTTATTGATGCATTCGAATAGTAACTTGATATATAAAGAATTTTCTCTCGTTTTTTTATTAATAAGAATAAATTACTCTTGAAAGTATTTCAATGAAAGAAAAATCATTTATCAAGAATTACAAATCTACGCGATATTTGAAATTGGGACATGTACTAAGAAGTGTTTTTCCTATGATATTGTTCGATTTTAATTGTTCATAAAAGAAATCTAATCGAGCTTTATTTAATGTGTCATCATTCCATGTGATCAAATCATCTGTTGATTTACACTTTGATGAAAGTTCCCATCATCTGAATAAACCCGAGAAAACATTGATATGATAATCATTATTTTCGCGAATAAAATGAATATAAAAGAAATCTCAAATAATTCCTTCTTTTTCAAGCTTTTTAACTAAATAGAATCCTTCATGTTTTTTTTCAAATTTTGCTTTTAAATGAACAGCATTTCCTTGTTCATGAAGATATTCACTAATTATATGTTGTAAATATTCAAGTAAACGATCATGTTCAACAATCGATTGGTAATGATTCAATTTTTCTTCAACTCCCCATGTGAAATTTTTTTGAGTGTAGACGCGTTTGGGATGCGTTTCAAACGCAAGGCATAAACGCGTTCGAAGAGATGGCTTTTTCCAAAAAAGCATTCTATTCCTACAGCTTTGACCTGCGTCACCATCATTCTCTCCTGATGTTCATCTCTTCCACCACGCTTCGACTAAGACATCTATTCAATTTTTATACATACATTTAGATGGTTCGACGAGTGAGACTAGAACATAAGACTTTTCAGTTACAAATCTACTTACTTAGGCCGTTGCACTATACTGGCTTATCTATGAACAAGTTAGATTTTCCTCTTAAGAAGATAATTCGTCTAGGACTTATCTCAAATGAAACGAATCTTACAAAAAAGTCATGAATATATCTGAATATTAATTANGCAGAAAATGGAGCTGATTCAATCTTATATTTAGTTCATACACCATCTGATCAATTAGAAAATGGAGGTTTTTATCTTGATGGTGTTCAATTTCCCCAAATTAATCAAGATCAAGATTTAATTCGACAAGCATATGAACGAATTTCAAAAGTTAATGCAGCAAAATAATTTCTTTTTCTTCTGAAAAATAAAAAAAAACATACAATTCAATTTACAAATCTTTATTAAATTAACCAAAGTTTATTTGATTTTTAAGAACATAATAAAATAAAACAGAATTGCTTAAGATGAGAGTGTGTGTGTGTTGTCTTTTATTCTTATAATTCAGATAATGAAAAAGAATTAAAATTGAGAACATATCAATCTTTTTCATCATTAAGTGATTCTCTTACAGATCGGAATTCACATAAAAGTATTATTTTGTTTTTTGTAGAGATCCCAAATATCAGTGTAAATACAAAGTGAATGCAGAATGGTATCACAATCGATGGAGATGAAGACAATCAGGTAATGATGTGTGTAGATTCACGAAAAGAAAGTGTGATATACTTGGTGGAAATGGACAAAAACAAGAAACAAATCAACTGTCATATTCTGTAAGTTTATCATTTGATTAAAAAAATATAATTTATATGTGACAAATTCTGATAATTATCGAATTCAAAAGTTTCATGTTGACATCAAATAATTTCTTGTTTATTTTTTATTTATTTTTAATTGATAAAACTGAATTAGAACAGAGATTTGTTCTGTCAATAACAAATAAATGTATTTTTCTATTCAAACGAAAGACAATTATCTCAGAAAAAGTGAAACTCAATGAGAATTTTCAAAATAATTTTCTTAATGTATTAGAATAGTAATTTGATATATAAAGAATTTTCTCACTTTTTTTATTAATAAGAATAAATAATTCTTGAAAGTATTTAAATGAAAGATAAATCATTTATCAAGAATTACAAATCTACGCAATATTTGAAATTCGGATGTACTAAGAAGTGTTTTTTCAATGATATTGTTTGATTTTAATTGTTTATAAAAGAAATCTAATCGAGTTTTATTTAATGTGTTATTCATTCCATGTGATCAAATCATCTCTCAACTTACATTTTCATGAAAATTCTCATTGTTTGAATAAACCCGAAAAAACATTGATATGATAATCATTATTTTTGCGAATAAAATAAATATAAAAGAAATCTCAAATAATTCCCCTTTTTTTTCAAATTTTGCTTTTAAATGAATAGTATTTATTAGTTCATGAATAATATTTACTAATGTAAATATTTAAATCAATGATTATGTTCAACAATCGATTTATAATGATTCAATTTTTCTTCATATTCAATTGAACATTCAGATTTCATTGTTTTAAATATATCATAAGCTTGTTTATTCATTTTAACATTACAAATTTCAATATTGAATTCATCATACAAAGT